TTAATTAAGGTCAAAACAGCCAAACTGGAAAATTCGATAACTCAGCCATGCTTCCATTTTGACTACTTTTGTCTTACATACAAAATTCTCTTTGAATTAAAGGAACACTCAATCGTTATCTGTATTCCTAATGCTACAGGCCTGATGCCACTTATCAATTAGGTCGCCCTCGTGTAAAATAAAAAAATAAACAAATGACTCTCCTTTTTTCCACCACCGAGTCTCCCATGGCACCGCCGTGACTTCCTCCATTGAGTTGCATCCTGCAGGATGACGGGCCAATGCCATGCTCCTCATAGAAGAGTTTTTCAGGAACATTGGAGTATTAGGTATTTTGCCCCAATAGAGAATTATCGTATTTACTTCCTGGCTCTCATACCATAACATACGGTGACATCAGGGCATACGAGCGTGATGTCATAGTATGCTGTGGTATGGAAGCAAGGAAGTAAGATCCCCGTCGTTCATATCCGGAGGGCTTGGAGGAGTGGCGTGAAGATGTGCTTCCAACCCTTCTAATTAGTGAAATTAGGGGTTTTGGGAGGAGTTGAACTGCAAGCACTTTAACAACTTCAATAAGATGAAGCTGTTAAAGTGCCTACAGTGTTGCTTTAAAGGGACACTATAGTCACCAGAATAACTGCAGCTTAATGTAATTGTTCTGGTAAGTTAAGTCAGTTCATGCAGGCCTTTTCATGTTAACATTACAGCCTAGGAACACCTCTAGTGGCCGCTCCTAAGACGGCCAATAGAGGTGCTTCCGGATCAGTGCTGCACAAGAACAACTGCGGCTCAATGTATTTTTTCTGGTGAGTATAATAATCCCCTTTAGGCTTTTTGCAGTAAATACTGTTTGTTCAGTGAAAATGTAGTGTTTACATTACAGTTTAGGGATACCTCCACTGGTCAATCCTCGGATGGCTACTAGAGGTGCTTCCTGGGGCAGAGCTGCATAGTGTGACTAACACTCAGTGTCTCCACCCTCTGCATGGAGACACTGAACTTTTCTCAGAGATACATTGACTCAATGCATCTCTATGAGGAGATGCCGATTGGCCAGGGCGGCGTCTGGCTTCGACTCCGCCTCCTTGCCTGAGATCAATCAATTCTAAAGATGTCAGCCAAGAAGGCAGATCAAGGTGAGCCCGACGCAAGGAGTAAATCACCTTTCTAACCCGAGGTAAGGGTGTAAGAACTAGTGTCAGGAATACATGTTTGTGTTTCTGACACTATAGTGTCCCTTTAACTTTGAATTCTCACATTAGCAAATATCCATTTCAGCAAATTTTGTTATGGCTTCTGAAAAAAGTCTGCCAACTAGCACAGAAAGCCCTTGAATTTAACTGTATTTCCTGCACTCACTTTTAGAAGAAACTAACTCTGTGCTTGGAGAATAGAAGCACTCCCTGCATGAGGACAGTGGACATATGTTTACTGTGTAAGTACGATTGAAACCTGCTTGATATGCAATTACCTACATTCATTTATAATTTAAAAGAATACAGAAAAAATGGCAGAATCAAGGTATTTGGAAATCATTGCACATTTGTAAGCGTTTATTGACTAAAGAGTGAATTGAAGATAGACTCCATTCTAGTGATGTCAGAAAGTGTGAACATGTTTTTCAATCTTTTTTTAATACCAGACGGGCTATGTCTGCAATTAGAAATTAGATTTTATTATCACCTTTAGGGAAACAGCCGCATATGCAACCAGATGAAAGGAATTCTTATAAAAGAAAACAATGACATAAGGCTTAACGGTGAGCTGAGCTTTAGCAACACTACAGGTAACTGGTCAGGCTTTGTATATGATTGAATTGTTGGGATGTGAGTAACTTCACTGGTAACATAGCATATACTGGTAATAAAGCATACTACATATCTGTTACAACCTTGAAATAGAATGAATAGGAAACAAGCTGATTAACGTGTATATGCGCAATCATTAAATTCATACCTGTTTTGGAAAAGGGTCCAGAAGCTGAAATTCATATCTGTACAGCATTAAAATCACCAACATGTGTATTTCCATTAGTGCAAACCATCTAAATAAAACACAGACTGGATTAGACACATACCAAATGTATATAAAATTATTTATTTATAAAATATTTTACCAAGAATGATACACTGAGATTTCTCTAGTTTCCAAGTATGACCTGGGTCCACATACAACATGGTACAGTAAATTACAAAAACAATATTAATACACAATATATACAAAATTTAACATAGAACAGGTAGGAAATATATAATCAACCATGACACGTGCATTCTGTTTTGAGGTATGTAGAGAGGGATCTCTTAAAGGACTTTAGTCTTGGGGAAGATTTTAAATTGTGCGGGAGGTCGTTCCATAATTGCAGTGCTCTGTAGGAAAAGGAGGATGGAGCTGCTTTCTTTTTTTATTGAGGTAGACTAAATAAAGTGTTGGTACTGGATCGGAGCTTACAGAAAGTGGGAACAGCTGGGGAAAGCATTTTGCTCAGGTAGGGCGGGAGCTTCCCAGAAAAGCTCTTAAACACAAGGTTGAAAAGATGAAGGGTGCGTCTGGATTCCAGCGACAGCCAGCTAAGTTCTTTTAGCATGTTACAATGGTGGGTCCTGTAATTACATTGTAGCACAAATCGTCAGAGCAAGTTATACAATGTATTGAGTTTATTAATGTGGGATTGCGATGCAGATGCATATACTACATTCCCATAATCAATGATTGGCACCAGCATTTTGCTGTACAATCTTTTCCTTTACTATAGGGCTTAGGCAGGATTTGTTTCTGTACAGGGCACCTTGTTGTGGATAAAGTTTAGATGTGTTTTTCTATGTGGAGGCCAAAAGATAGATTGTGGTCTAACAACACACCCAAGTATTGTTAGAAAGAGTGGACTGTGGTCAGTGTGTGATTTGAATTTGTTTTGATTCTTATCATTTGTGTAAATCTCCAAAATAAGAGATACCTCTTAAGGACGGCGGGCGTTCTATGCCGTCCTTAAAGAAGTGGCTCTAAACGCCGCAGGGCAGCATAGAACTCCCAAACCGTCCTTTGTACTTACCCGGTCGCCGGCGATCCCACGCCGTCGATCGCGGTATGGGGACTCACCTGGGAACCCAGGGAGTACCCCTCCGTCATTTTCGGCCCCCCTGGGCCATGTGATCGCGAGGTCCTTGCGAGGACCTCAAGATCACATGAAAGGCATTGCCAGCAGTGGGAGTGCCTGTAATGACAGGTACTCCCCCTGCTGTCTGAAAATAAATAAAATAAAAGTTAAATCAGTGTAAAATTAAATAATATATACTTAGATCATATATATTTATTATATATATATATATGATCTAAGTATATATATACACATATACACACATATACTGTCTAAGTGTATTTTAATATTAATATATACATAATTATAAATATATATTAATATCAAAATACACGTACAATGATATTGATTAAATATATATATAATTTTCATTATATAATATAAAATAAATAAATCTCTAAATATGTTAAAAAATTAAATAAAAAAATAATAAAAATAAAAAAAAAAAAATTATATGTATATGTGTAAATTCGTTCTAACTGTATTTAAAAATTTATATATTGATATCAAAATACATGTAGAACGAAATAACATATATATCTATATACATAAGTATATACGTATATATCACTATCTATACCTATATATAAATAAAAATAATTTTAAAAAATTATACATATATATATATATATATATATATATATATATACACATATATTTATATACATGCACATATATAATAATTCTACGTATATATTTATGTAATAGTTTTACATAATTAGGTAATTTGATAAATTACAATTAGCAGGACTAGCCTGACAACCCAGGCCAAAAGTCCAGGGAATTTAATTTGCTAGCACTATATTTAACCCTGTAACTTTCCAAGACACCATAAAACCTGTACATGGGGGGTACTGTTTTACTCGGAAGATTTCGCTGAACACAAATATTAGTGTTTCAAAACAGTAACATGTATTACAACGACGATATTGTCAGTGAAAGTGACATTTTTTTGCATTTTTCACACCCAAATGGCACTTACACGGACAATATAATTGTTGTGATACGTTTTACCGTTTTGAAACACTAATATTTGTGTTCAGGGAAGTCTCCCGAGTATAACAGTACCCATTATGTACAGGTTTTATGGTGTTTTCAGAAGGTAGAGAGTCAAATATAAGGCTTGCGTTTCAGTTTTTTCACTTTGAAATTCGCCAGATTGGTTACGTTGCCTTTGAGACCGTACGGTAGCCCAGGAATGAGAATTACCCCCATAATGGCATACCATTTGCAAAAGTAGACAACTCAAGGTATTGCAAATGTGGTATGTCCAGTCTTTTTTAGTAGCCACTTAGTCACAAACTATGAAAGAGATGAATTACAGCTGAACAGACATTTAGCGCAAATTAAAGTTTTTGTTTACGTTTTGTTTTGATCACAACATGTACATTTGGCTCAGTCCTTAAGGGAATACTTATCTCAAAATGCAAGATACCTGATAATTATCTCAAAATGTAATATACCTGATATATCTCAAAATGTAATATACCTGATAATTGTCTCAAATTGTAATATACCTGATATATCTCAAAATGCAAGATACCTGATAATTATCTCAAAATGTAATATACCTGATAATTGTCTCAAAATGTAATATACCTGATATATCTCAAAATGTAATATACCTGATAATTATCTGAAAATGTAATATACCTGATATATCTCAAAATGCAATACACCTGATAATTATCTCATAATGCAATGTACTCGATATATCTCAAAATGTAATATACCTGATAATTATCGCAAATGTAATATACCTCATATGTCTCAAAATGTAATATTCCTGATATATCTCAAAATGTAATATACCTGATTAGTGATGTCCCGAATGGTTCGCCGCGAATGGTTCGCCACGGACTCATCATTGAGTAAACTTTGACCCTGTACCTCACAGTCAGCAAACACATTCCAGCCAATCAGCAGCAGACCCTCCCTCCCAGACCCTCCCACCTCCTGGACAGCATCCATTTTGAAGCTGCATTCTTAGTGAGCTGTCCAGGAGGTGGGAGGGTCTGGGAGGGAGGGTCTGCTGCTGATTGGCTGGAATGTGTCTGCTGACTATGAGGTACAGGGTCAAAGTTTACTCAATGATGAGTCCGTGGCGAACTGTTCGTAAACCGTTCGGGACAACACTACTGCTGACCCCTGTTTGTGCAATTATCAGCTTTCGTTCGTACTAACTAAATGAACATGTATATAGAAGCCCTATAAAGGGTTAAATGTGAAAGAGTTTATAAAATACCCCTTCCTGTCTCACTGGAGATTCTTGGCTGATATCAGCATATCTAATGGCTAGTGTAGGAACTCACCTATTGAGGCTTGCCTTGACGTGGCAGGTGAGCTTATATATTCAAATGGCCATTGGAATAAAACTAAAGAGCCTCCATTTTGTTTAAATGTACACAGTGATTTAGGCCAGAGCGCAGGTAACGTTCTCTTTGTTTTTACTATGTATTTTAAGCTGTTGGATACTAAGCTACTGCTTCTTTAAGCGTGGTGCTTTATCTTTGTGTTTGTATATGATGTTTGTTTCACACAGCTATGTTACATTGCTGCCAGCCTCCCCACATTTGTCTTATTAAGAGTTTATAAGTATGTAGGGGCAGCACCCCTTCCTGTCTCATCAGAGAAATTTGCCTTTTAGCTGATACCAGCAAGGTGATTTGTATGTGTTATGGCCCTATTCAGAGTTAAGTATGTAGGGGTTTATAAAACACCCCTTCATGTCTCATTAGAGATGTTTACCCTTTGTCTGATACCAGCAAAGTTTATTGTATGTGTAGAAGCCCTATAAAGGGTTAAATGTGAAAGGGTTTATAAAATACCCCTTCCTGTCTCACTGGAGATTCTTGGCTGATATCAGCATATCTAATGGCTAGTGTGGGAACTCACCTATTGAGGCATGCCTTGACGTGGCAGGTGAGCTTATATATTCAAATGGCCATTGGAGAAAAAAAAACTAAAGAGCCTCCATTTTGTTTAAATGTACATGGGGATTTAGGCCAGAGCGCAGGTAACGTTCTCTTTGTTTTTTATATATATATATATATATATATATATATACTTACCCGTTCGGTTACTTAACTGTTTGTATTAAATCTGTCGAAATTTGTTTAAAAATCTGTTTATTACTGCAACCATTTACTACTACGTCTGTGGTTCTTGGTTTAATTATATTTAAAATATAAGATCCTCAGATGTATGACACTTTATCTCAGAACTCAGTTATTTATTCCAAGGCCCTTTGGAGTTAGCTCTCTGTGTTTTAAGGTGTGTTAAATACTTAATAATTTCTTCTGACACCCAACTACTTTGGCTTAGTTTTTCAACTCCACGCCAACTCCGTACGCCATCGCAGAACATATATATTAATATGTAGCATGGTTCTCTGGGGGAATTTTCTAAATCCTACATTTCATATTATTCTCTATTTCTCTTTAGCTTACGCAGACATTAATCTTAGCCTATGTTATATTTCTTTGGTCTCCACAGATTGCCCGTTTGTCTTGTATTTCTGCATAAAGTTGTCAAATTCAAGTTCTTGTATTTACAATCCAGGTATAGTATTTACTCACTTCAGTTTCAATCATGCCAAGGCCTCAGGCAGCCTTCACTTTAAACTTGTCACTAACGTACTGCCCCTCTAATCTCGTATCATTTATGTCAAGTTAACACGGCCTCTGGGGGAATTTGTTAATTAATATATACTGTTATAACCACTTCTATTTTAATAATTGTACGATGGCTTTAATCCATAGCTCCAACATTATTCTAGGCCTCCTACGGTTTTCCCTGAAAAAAACACTTACGTTCATCCAAGTACCTGTACAACAAATCAAGGTATAATACTCTACTCATTACGGGGCTCTCACACTAGACCTGACACGGTCTCTATTTTATCACGATTATCACACGGTCCTATGTCCTTTTTGTGCTTAAATTCTCTGCATTTTTACTTAGGCATACGTTCATACTGCCATCAGGTAAGAACCTACTCAACCTACCTAACCTGGTACCCCGCTACATTACCAGGTATTTGCGTTCTTACTCGTTACTAGCACTTGCTACCCCTAAGGCCTCAATCAGCCTCCCTCTATAGCATAAACTCGTCCCAGTCTCAGACTAATCATTCAGATCCCTTACCTCAGGATCTCACGTTGCTCCTATAGCCACCCCTTACTACTAAGCATACGCCCCTACGTTACGCTCAAACACATCAACATCTGTCTTAACCATTAGGCTTCTTCTACGAAACCAGCAGCGGCCAAGCCACTCTACTTAAAAAACACTTGAAGGTTCAAGTTACCAGTTATAACCACTATCATGGTTAGTATCCACTCATTACACCCATTATTGCCATTGAACCCATAGAAGGTGAGTGAACTGGCTTACGGGGTCTAGGCTCCGGCCCTAGCTCACCCAAGTAAATTCCGGTCCCGCGAGGCCATCTCCCACCTAAACACGGAGGTACGGCCCCACGCCCAAATCATAGTTAGATGCCTCATTCGCCCTTCTACAGGGCTGCAGTCTGGGCCTCACTTTTCACGGCCACACGTTTTGAATCTCTTAAACAGTCATCGAGAGGCCAACATCCCGCCACCACGTCTGTGGCAACGAACTTCCCTAGGCCAAATCATAGATAGAGCCTCTCACCAACACTCGGCACTAGCAGGGCCTCATCTGTCACTAGTTCACAGTTAAGTTTTTCTCTTCGGCACTAGCCTTACAGTCCAGTTCACCTAAGGAACCCTCCCCCCTCTCATACTCCCCTCTGTTCTCTCCTTCGCCCCTACTTAATCTAATTCACTAATTAATTTCTAGAATGTCTCAAGAACAAGCCCCAATTGATGAGTTGTCTGCCAAAGAGATTCCGTTCACTCCTATCAGACTCGAGTCTCCAGGCGAATCTCTCACCCCCTCTACTCCTACGTCCTTGAGAGCATGGACTATTTCTAAAATTACGTCCGAACTTAGGCTCAGGGGCATCCCCTTTCCAGCTACGGCTAGAAAGGCGGAACTCTATAGACTTCTGACCTATCAGGCCCCCGAGCCTAGGCCAGGCACTAGCTCTCAAGGACAGCCATCAGGCGCTTGCACGGCCACTCAGGACACCCTTGCAGCAATCCTGGCCAACCTGCAGACCCTGAACAACAGGTTATCTAAGGTGGAGAGTGCCATCGCCTCCCCAGGTAACCTCCCTGCCTTGTCAGCCCCCACCCCGGCAGTCTCTGTTACAACACCACACTCCCCTATACATCCCCCTCCAGCACCAGCCACCGTTATGTCACCTTTTGTATCACCAGCTCACTCTGTCCCAGACTCCATTAGGAAAGAAATCCTAGACGGGAAGGATGTGTGTCTGGTGTCACTACTTATAGCCTCTCAAGATGTGCTGGAGAACCGGGCATATAACTATGGGGATATCCCAGTGGTGCTTAAAACCAGGAATCCTAGGCTTAATAAAAAAAATTTCCATACTGCAGTTCGTAATAGGCTTCGGGATATACCGCAACATCATTTGCTCGGTATATCCCCACAGGAGAGAGGAACTAGACCTCTATCTTCATAAAGTGGTGGATTTGGGCATCAAGTACGTGGGGCTCATCTTTTTATGATTACCATAAATCAGTATCAGCGAAGGAGGCGACCCATCTGAAGCAGCTTAATATTAGAATTAACTGGTGTCAGATGGATACTGAATTATTCTGTCGCCACTTCGCTGGTCTGAGGCCCCCGTCTTGTGCCGTATGTAATTCTACATCGCATACGGCTGATTTGTGCCCCTCTGAAGCTGATCCATCCACCTCCACTCCCACCCCTCAACCCACTTTCACCCCTCACATTAAACAAGCGGGTGGTCAACGGGATAAACTGGGTAGACCCATCGCCTTCTTAGGCAAAGCGCAGGTGTGCAACAATTTTAATGCTGGATCCTGCAGCTTCAGCGCCTGTAGGTTGTTGCACAACTGCTCTATCTGCTTCAGGGCACACACGAAGACCATGTGCCCAGCCAGGTTGTCCCCTAACAAATGACTAACCAACATTAATGTCGGCAACCTGGTTTTCTATTTGAGACCTCATCTGAGCAGGCATTTGGTGGAGTATTTGATCATGGGGATCACACAGGGTTTTCTCACGGGTCTTGTAGCCATCCCCTCAGGCATGCTTGAATGTCCCAACCTCTTGTCAGCCTGCCAAGACAGTATGCACAGATACTCTCCTTTCCTCTGAAATCTCACACGGTTTCATGATCGGCCCCTTTACCTCCTAACCATTTTCCTCCTGGCGCACTAATCCTATTCTTATAGCTGTACACAAATATTCTAATAAAAAACGCCTGATTATCGATTTATCGGCACCGCACACCTCTTTTGTTCCCAGCATTAACTCACTCATACCCGCAGAAGAATTTTCATTACAGTACGTAAAAATTTACGATGCAATACAATCCATCATTTCAACTGGTAGCAATGCTTGGCTAAGCAAAACTGACATAACAAACATTCAAATTACTACCCATGCACCCACCACTCTGGCATCTGCACGGTGTTAAATGGCGAGGCAGATACTATTTTTCCACACGACTCACTTTCGGGTCTAGAAGCAGCCCCAAACTGTTTGATATATTCGCAGAAACACTACGCTGCTGCTTCTAAACGTTCTCGGGTGTCACTGTCATTCACTATTTGGACGACTTCCTACTGATAGAACCAAGCGCATGTACACCTACTAATATCCTTAGCACCTCAGCACTTTTTTCCACACTCGGGGTACCCTTATCACCCTCCAAAACCATCGGCCCCACTAATAAACTAACCTTCTTGGGGATCGAGCTGGACTCTGGTACCTTCGGAGCCAGCCTTTCCCCCCGACAAATTGGTCCGCTTGAGAGGAGAGATAGACATGTTCCTGCGGAGAGATGCATGCACCAGAAGGGAACTTCAGTTCTTATTGGGGTCCCTAGATTTTGCGATGCGCGTCATTCCGCAGGGTAGGTCATTCGTATACAGGCTTCTCTCTCTGCTACACAGGGTACCGGACTCCTGCTCAATTT